TTTTTTTTAATTTCATCTTCAAAATGGAAATTGCTATATCCAAAGTTATATGTCTGTCTGGAGTCCTAGGATTTAAACTTATTTGACTTATGCTACAGATGCCAGTGTGGGAAAGGTGTTTATGTTGTCAGATTCTCCTGTATGCTTTGAGCAAGTGGTAAGAGATAAGACAACCGAAGTTAGAAAGAGCGGATCCAATGGATCTAGAGCCTTAGGCATCCAGAGCAGGAGGAACCACACAATTGGTCTTGGTGAATTTGAGCAGATTGATATTGTGGTGACCGAAACAGTTATCCGATGGGCATCGTGCACATGTCTTCCTACCGCCACATCACTCAGGTCTTCTCTTGTCTGCTGAAAGTGTAGGTGACTTTTATGGCTTAACTTGTCAGTAGCTTGTGCTGAGAAAATGAGTTTGTTAACCTTGATGTTCACTTAATGAGGTCATGTAACATGTTAGATTCACGAGCTTCTGGACTAAACTGTCAAAGCTTATTCGCAACTCACAAGTTTGATTTTGGTAAAATGCCGTACCATAAAATGATGTTTTCTTGAGTTACAAAGCTTTTGTCCATTGTTAATGTGAAGGAGAGTGAGTCAATTGCTTCTGTTCTGATATTCAATGAGTTTTGCATGGACATCCGATATCTGTGTAGCATTTCATTTGCCTTGGTCCGAATGTGGGTGTTCGACGTACATTTTCACTAGATACATGAGCTTGTTTTCTCAAACGCAGAAGCTTATATAAACAACAATAGCCTGCTATTCAGAGTTTGAGCTTCAAACATGGCTGCACAAGATGAATGCAATTATCTTTACATGGTCGTTAGGTAGGATGTATTATTCTTTGTTTGGTAGGATTTTTAAGAAATCGTGGTATTAGACTTTTGGTAATACAATGGTTGATTAATACATGGCAGGATTAAAGGCATAGCCACCCTTAATACATCAAACCAAACAATGTATAAACATAATTAGAACACTACTTAATACACCCTATTCATTATTATTCTCATGCACTCTATCAAACGAATTCTAAAGTTTCAACTTGTATAACTAAATGGATAAAAATGACACCGTCAGTGCAACGTAATCGGTTGTTACTGGTTATTACTATCGTTCTTAATACCATGGTCAACTGAACCTAATTGTGTGAGAGCTCTTTTTATAGAGTCGATGCATATAATATAAACTCTATTTTTGAAGTTTTGATGTGGCTTGTTTTGTACTCACATTTACTTGAAGAATACATTTAATCCTTTCTTGTGATTGTCAAAGAGCTGACTTTAGAGTTGTTTATGGTGTGATCTTTTTACTTTTTCAAGTAATATAGTTGTATAAGTTTATCCCATTATGCAACCATGTGAGGAGCTTGTAGACAAAATGATGGGATTTTTTTTCGCGTTGACATGTCCCAAACTAATAATTAAAATTTAAAACTATAGCTTATAATTGGTACTTTGGGTGGAGTGGTCTTGTTCCCACCTCCACATGGCCATGGAGAATAAAATGTTGGTGCAAATACAATAAAACATAATAATGGGAAATGTGGATATGAATGCTAGAGGGACCATACAACTAAGGATTTTTTTTTAATTTTTTTTTTTGCTTTCATAATCGACAAGATTCACTATTATAATTTGTCTTGTTTATGCTTTCCACGACTCTTATGATATCCTTTTTTGCTCTGTCCTTGTTGGTACTCTTTCCTTTATTAAAGTTTTGTTTCAAAGGAAAAATCATACCAGTTGCCACTTTTAGGGCAACCAATTAGAATGTATGTACAAAAGTCTTACACGTATTGTGTCACGATCATCTCATATTGATAAAAACAAGAAGAAATTTCTACTTCAAAGAAATGAAGGCATTGAAATTATGAAAGCTAGTTGCTAAGGAAAAAATGTAGAACGATATCTATAAATAGAAATATCTTGATATAGTAGTCATAACTTAAAAGTGCCCAGAGATCTGTTATTTGAAAAATAAGCAGAGTTTGGAGTTCAAAATTGTACAACTGAAATTTAACTTTAGGGCAGTGTTAATTTAACTTTTAAAGAATGAGGAGACTAGTTTCATAATGTATTGTATTGTTGTGTTGTATCCTATCATATTGTACTATTTTAATGAATAATTATATGTTTTTCGTCGTTACATAATGTCATACATTCATCATTTGAATGATAAACCTGTAAAAAATTGTACGATATGAGGTAGAGCTACTATGAAAAGATAGGATAATCATAAATGATAAAATAGAATCATTAAATAATCGAGATAAGTAAAGACTAAAAAAAATATATTAAGATAATGATACGATCCAATCAAATCAATCTTCCTTGGTCAATTAAAATTGTACAAGGCGACAAGAATTCTCGGTGAACTTTCACATCATTGTAGATTCAGGATGGTCTAAAAGGATATGTCAAACATTTGATCAATAAGATTCCAAATTTTTTTCCTATCCAGTGTCCGGTACCTACATTGGAACCCGATTAGATCCGGATTCATGTCGGGAAGTTCCAAATTGGGGGTAAAGCGCTCCTAACAAAGGCGACTCTGTATCTAAAAAGAGTCGAACCCGAGACCTCTTGTTTAAGAATGAATACTTATCACTCCATCACAACTCTTATGACTATAATTATTTTTTGTAGTAGAGACAAAGAATGGAAAAATTTAAGAATAGCCATTTTCCAATAGTCTAGAATTGAAAGATTAGTTAAATTTTGGAATGTATGACATTCAAACGTAGAAAAGTGAAACTTTATCAAAGTAGTATGGACAAAAGATGTTTCATCATTTTAATTTGAAATTCATGACATTGGCATGGTTTTCACATCAAAAGTTGTTTCTTTTAAATGGATTTTCAAACACTAATTATTTTCTAAAACCGCCCCCCCTACAATTTTTACAATTTGAATGAGATGATAAAAATCGAACTTAGAAATAAAATATTTGAACCATAAACATCTAATATAATGTTCATTGAAAAGTTCTTTCTAATGTTAATTTCCTATCCATCTTTATTTGTCCATTCTACTAAAAATAGTTATCCAACAATACTTGTCTAATCCGTCAATGGGAAAAAAACAATTCCCTTAGTATTTTATGGATAATATGTTGGAAAAAAACCGGATTTGCTTGAAGGAATATTACAAGATGCATCCTGGATAAAGATTAAGGCTTTATTTGTTTGCACATAATAATTCAGATTCAGCCTATCAAGTACGTTTGATTTTTAGGTTCTGAATTTGAATGATTTAGATTCAGCTCATTAAATTCATTTGTTTTATTTTAAAAAAAGTCTCTTAATGGGTTTGAAGAGGTCTGAATGAATCAGATATGTAGGAGAGTTTTAACAACATTCAGACTCATTTAATAAGTTATCAAATAATAAATCATCGCTTCTCTACTTTAAGCGTGCCTTTTTATCTCATAACTAAAAACTCTCTTTCTTTTTTCTCAATCAAACACCATTTTTTCCCTCTTGAACTGGTAAGTTTTCATAAATCCTTTCAAGTTTTCATTTTATATTAATAATTTTCTTGTATTGACTGTGTTAAGAACACTGTTGGTGTATTGACACTTATCAAGATTTTTCAATGAAAAAATTGTACTTCCAAATCACGATTATTAAAACTTTTAAAACTTTTTTTTATTATCAAAAGCGATATATTTTGTTGAAATAAATTTTTATGATATTTATTAATTTAATGTTAATTTCACGTGCACATTCAGATATTGAAAACAAACCGTATTAATTATTTAGTGTTCAGATTTAGAGACCACATTTTAATATTCAGATGTGTATTCAGATCAAAACACGTGAATCTTAATACAAATCTTCATATTCAAGTGTGTATTCAAATTCAGACCTCTTAAACTTAATGAAAACAAATGGGGCCTAAATGACTCTTGGATTTTGTTAATTAATTAATTTATTAATATTATTTGTGTGTAAAAGGAATGTTATGCAAGACTTGGAACATTAACACTTAAATTTCCTAGGGGAGATAGGTCATATGTAGTTTGTTTTGCCATCTGTTGTTGTAAATTATAATTGTTCTTTCTCAGTAACTTTAAGGAGAAAAGGTGAAATATTTTAAATTTTGATCGAAATTTTTGTTACAATATCAAATTGTGGAATGTCTTTTTATCCCTGCACTATTTATAGTGTATTTTAAGGGTATATATGTGCCCACGTGGATATGAAAAATATTGCATAACTATAAATAATAATGTGTCCATTTGGGCACATACATACATTTAAAATACACTATTAGATAGTTCAGGGTAAAAGATCCAATTTGATATTGTAACAACAATTTCAACCAAAATTTGAGTATTTTTAAGATTGTTTCCCTAACTTTAAGCTAAATTTTGCCTTACATATTAAATTTTGAAGTTCTACTGTTATTATACAATATTGTCTACTTTAAAAGTCTATTAGTTCGAGCAAGTCAACAATTATGAGTAGCAAAAATCTTATAAGCAATTTTTTAAATATCATGACTTTCTATTAATATGAAAATGTTAACTACTCCGCCTGAATCTAATCAGATACATTATTAACGACTTTATTTGTTTAATTAATCATAGTTTCACAGAAGAACTTTATAAGTTTTCAAAAACTATCCAATTTTTTCTAAATTACACATGGACCACCTTTTCGGTATATGGACATCACAAACTAAAATATAACTAACAACAATACACAAAGTGATGGGATTTGAGAATGTTAGAGTATATACAGATCCTATTATTACCTCATAGAGATAGAGAAGTTGTTTCCAAAAGACCCTGACTCAACTACGACAAATCTAAGTACAAGGAAGAAAGAAAATAGCGTAAGAAACATAACAACTACAAGAGTAGACCAAAAATAATAAAATACTATAATAATCGAGACACAATAAATAACAAACGATAATGAATATTTCAGACATCATCACAAACTGAATAGGAAACAAATATTCGATTTTTAACATTAATATCCCTAGAATGCATGGTTGCAATTATGCCCAAGGACCCGACCACTTTGTCCACCTTGTGATGATAAGGTCCCTAACTCGTGGACACAAATTGGCCTCGTCTACTCAAACTTGAGGTTCACATAAAAGGCAAAATATCTTCAAACTTTTAAACTTTCTGACTTATAGAAAATTATCTATCCATTTTCTCTTCAAATCATAACATTAGCAAAATGGGGTCTCAAATTTACTCATCAACTCCTCAATTCTCCTGCCAATTTCCCAAAATCAAATCAAGACAAATATCTTCATATTCCTCAGTTCAGTTAAAACCAAGAATCAGCATCATAAGTTGTCAGCAACAGCCACAGTCTACTGGTGTTGTTACTGAAACACCAGTTCCAAGAACTGCTATATACAATGTCGACTTCAAGACTTTTGAAGATTGTAAACTTGGCATATCCAGATACCCAGATTTTGTGTATAATGCACAAGGGGGTACAGGTACTGGAACTGGCAAAAGAATTGAGTCGAGCGATGAAATTTCAATTGATTTTGACTTGGAAAAGTTGTACATTCCTCCATTAACATCTGCAACTGCTAAGTTCTTGGGATTGCCATTGCCCCCTTTTCTGAAAATTGACGTTGAACCTGAGCTCCTTAGAGGATATGTCAACCAAGAAACTGGCAAGGTACATTCCTTACCGCTTTCATATATTGTCCTTAACAGAAACATATCGTGAATTTATCAAGAAGCTGAGAAAAGAGAGGTTAAATTTCAAGCTGATACCTTTTACAGGTTAATCTGGAGTTCAAAGCCAAGTTCTGGTTTTCAGTTGGAAGCATCTACAGAGCGCCACCACTGCTTGTGGATACGTTATTAACATCAGACGAATCGAAGGGAGGAATGAGAGGAGGAAAAGGGGAGAGGCTAAATGAAGAAGGAAGGTGCAAACTTGTTGGGGTGGCAACAGTTGAACCTATTGACGACTTGTTTATGAATACATTCCTTGGCCTTCCAACAGAATGTCTTGCAAAGATGAATTCTACAATCTCACTTTCCAGTACCTAGAGACTTTGCCAAGCAATAGTTATGTGAGATCACATTGTATAGCTCTCAAACATTGATATAAAAAGGAAGGTCAATAAATTGCATAGTTAAGTTAAAGAACATTCAATAATGGATTTTGTAAACAGAAAGTGTAGAATTCATGGGAACCTGGACGTGAATGTCCATTGATACGGGATTTACAATACACTGCAATTGTACCAATTTTTACATCAGCTGTATATAGTATGTAAACTTTGTATACTTTGCTGTGTTCCAAAAGAAAAAGGGAGGACTTGTCCCTCTGTTATACTTCCTGCTATATCCATCCATCCACCAGACTTTCAACAACCGATCCGTAATAATTGCTCCTTCAGTGCACAGTATCATGCTGCATCAAGGAAATAAGGGTCAGAACAATCACGTGTAGTTGAACACAGTTAAACTAAAATTACCACAACTCAAACATGTTTTGAAATTGTTCTGGTAAACTAGCAAAGCAAAGTGCTATACATTATTCAAATGCGAGCCTCTGAGTATCAACCAGAGAAGCATATTGACCCTTCCTTTCCAACAACTCTAAGTGTGTTCCCAACTCCGCAATCTTCCCATCAGAACACAAAGCAATTTGATCTGCATTCTGAACTGTGCTCAATCTGTGAGCAATTACCAAAGTTGTTCGTCCCTTCATCAGATGGTCCAGGGCTTCTTGAACTAGACGCTCACTTATAGTGTCTAAAGCACTAGTGGCCTGCAGAAAATACAGAAAGTAATGTCATATTCATCAAATATATTTAGTATTACAATTGAAAGTGGATCCAGACGTTGAGCTTCATGCATTCAAGTTCGGAGTTTTACCACAACCAATTTGATCTACTGAGTTCAATTTCTTTTTGGGGGGTAGGTTGTGGGGGGAATAATTGTGAAATACTACCATGACAAGCAACAACATTACACCTAAAGAGCACCTAGAATTCATATCCACTTTCCAGGAAGGGTAAAACATGATTAAGTATGCCTCCAACAAAACCAAAAAACTAAGTACATAATCTCTGGATAAAAAGTCTAATCTACGAGCCTTTCTAGATCCCTGTAAGAAGTCCATTCCTTTCAATTACTTCTGTCTTTATCTGTGATACTACAAAACTGGTATTTACATTTTCAACTCTAAATAACTTCCACTTCCTTGCTCGCCAATGTGGTATATCATAGCACCCCACACTTCTGCCATCACTTCCTTATTAAACTTTATCCATCTTTTCTTTTTGATCCATTCCGGGCATAGTTGTGTTAGCCTCAATATATTTTAATGATGACAAACTGATCCCATAAACCTACTATGCAGGAGAAAGAAAAAAGAACCAAGAAAGATTGTAACTCAACAATGCAAGGAAAGGGAAGCAGCCATGGAAGGTTGACAATCAAGGAAGATTTCTACTCAACTACACAGGGAAAGAGAAGCAATCAAGGAAGATTGTTACTTGGCACAACACAACGAAAGAAGACCCATGAAGATCAAGGCAGATCGCAGAACAGAGGAAGAATAATGCTCAGTGTGGTACTTGGCTGAACAAGGAAAGAAAATCAACACATACGGACATATCCTAACATCAGCTACCTCCACTCTTTCGAATTTAGGTGTTTCGTATACAATAACGGCAAGAATAATCTGGGAAAATTTGATCATCTTAGTGATGAAATTATTTTTCTAGGATTCTCTCCCTCCGGTAGATTTTTCAGAGTTTTCAATAAAAGAACTCTCTGTGTTGAAGAATCTGTACATGTTGTATTTGATGATTCTATCCTTAGCATTCAGAATTCAAAAAACGGACAAGGGCCTAAAATACCCTTAAAGTATTGAAAATGGTACAAAATTACCCTTCATCCACCTATTGGCTCCAAAATGCCCTTTTCATCCACCTATTGGCTCCAAAATACCCTTGTCATCCACCTTTGGGTTCAAAATTGACCTTTTTTTATTGTTTTAAAATTAAACTCTTTAAATTTTTTTTTAAATGCTGGACGTTCAACTATTAATTATTATTTTAATTTATTAATATAATTTATAAACCAATCCACTACCCACTCATTACTAACTAAACCTCACTCAATTAATAATTCAATTATAATATCAAAATCGTCATAAACACTACTAAAACACGATGAATTATAGATTACTGAAAATGACATTCAAAATTATTCGAGTCCGAATCGAAGCCCCAACTAAATTTAGGTTGAGCCGCTTATTTAGGAGGACACTTTCTTTCAAAATTGAATTAGAAATTTATGATTAAAGGTAAAGAAATAATAAATCCCGAATTAATTCATGCACTTTTTTTAAATATAATTTTATAAATATTTGTGATTTATTTTAAAACCTTTAATATATTATTTTGAAAAAAAGTTACATATGAAGTAACATCACATAATTGAAATGTAAGAATAATTAAGATGAACATAGTCAGACTTTTAAGTTTATCGGTGATTTTTATGTAGCCACTTGAATGTATGATAATTTACTTCTATATTTTTTAAAAACACTCAATTGGCAGTAGCTTGCATTAATAAAGTGACGGGTTCATTAATTTAGAGGGATTTAATTAGTAATGGGTGAGTAGTGGATTGATTTATAAATTACACTAATAAGTTAAATTATAACAAATAGTTGAGCGCCACGTATTTTAAAAAATATTTAAATAGTTTAAATATAAAACCGTTAAATAAGTGGTCAATTTTGAACCAAAAGGTGGATGACAAGGGTATTTTGGACCCAATAGGTGGGTGGGAAGGGCATTTTGGAGCCAATAGGTGGATGAAGGGTAATTTTGTACCATTTTCAATACTTTGAGGGTATTTTAGGCCCTTTTCCGTTCAAAAAATGAATGTGCTGCTGCAGAACATGTTGAAAAATACTCTGAAGAAACAAAGCAATAGCCCGATCCAAAAATTGCTGAGGGAATAACTGAGTGATTATCTGAGACGAAAAGTCAACTGATCCATTTGAACTGCCTAAACGCTCAATCTCACGAAAGTGGAAGCATATGCAAGCTATCCAGACAACCTCAATCATGGAACCCAAATGCAAAAAATGCAAACTAGAGCTTCCGTGAAAAAACAAGCATCCACGACGCTAATACACAACTGGAACCAAAACAAATTGATTAAGCACAAGATGACGAGTGCTAGACGAAGGTGATGCAGGAAGAACTTGATTAATTTGAAAGAAATCAGGTATGGACATTAATGAAACGACCAAAAGTCTTTGTGATAGGAACCAAATGGGTCTTCTGAAACAAGCTAGATGAGGAGGTAAAGTCATTAGAAACAAAGCAAGGTTAGTCGCTCAAGGTTACTCACAACAAAAAGGTATTGATTACGAAAGGATGTAAAAATGCTATGTCAAATGGACTTGTAAAGGAAGAGGTCTTTGTTAAGCAACCTCCTGGCTTTGAAAGTTTCTCTTGTCCAGATTATGTTTTCAAATTAACTAGAGCCATCTATGGTCTCAAACAAACCCCTACGCTTGGTATGAGAATTAAGCACCTTTTACTTGGAAATAATTTCCAACCTGGCAAAATAGATGCAACTCTTCTCTTACAAAATTCAGAATCTAGCATCCTTATTGTTTAAATTTATGTCGATGACATTATTTTTGGAAGCTTTAAGGCCAGTCTCTGTGAGAATTTTGCCAGTCTCCTGAAAGAAGAATTCAAGATAAATTTTATGGGAGAACTTACTTTCTTCTTGGGACTACAAATCAAACAGTCGACTAAGGTTACTTTCATTAGTCAAACCAAGTACATAAAGGAGCTACTCGAAAAATTCGGGACGAGAAAAGGTAAAATTTTGGGACTCCTATGAACCCCTCAACTTGCCTCAAAAGCAGATTTGCCAGGTAAAAATGTCAATGAGAAAACATATCAAGGAATGATCGGATCACTACAATATTTGACTGCCAACCGACCAAACATCATCTTTAGTGTCTGCAAATGTGCTAAATTTGAATCAACTCCAAAAGATTCTATCTCACTGAAGTAAAGAGAATCATTTGATATCTCATTGGAACCCAAGATTACGGATTATGATATCCTCACTCAACAAATTTTGATTTAATTGGATATTCAAGTGCTTATTTTGCAGGTGATAAAAAATGATAGTAAAAACACAAGTGGCACCTGTCAAAATTTTGGGCGAAGCTCTAATCTTTGGCATAGCAAGAAACAAACTTCAATGACTCTATCACCCACTGAATTAGAGTACTTGTAGGGAGGTGTGATACTCAACTGTTATGGATAATGCATTAATGAAATGACTAAAAATTATCTTATGAATTAGTACCTATTTTATGCGGTAATAGTAGTTGTTGAATTAGGTCTTAGGCCTAACTCACACCCCAAAAGCTAGCCAAAAGGGAGGAGGATTACCCAAACCTTATAAGGAGTCCACCCTTCTCATTAACTACCGATGTGGGACTTTTGTCATTCCTTAACACCCCACCTCACGCCCAGTGCTTAGCATCTAGTGCGTGGACAATTTTGATTTGTGGGGGTCCCGACATCAGGTGAGACGGATCCTGCTCTGATATCAATATAGGAAAAGAATATTATTAAATTGTTGATGTTTATATATTACATTAAGACCCTATTTATAGACACCAAAATACAATCCTATACCAAGTAGGATACTATTTACTATTCCTATTTTTGTTTTTATTCCTATTCTATTCTAAATAGGATTGTGTAAACCTATTCCTATTCTACTAGGATTGTACAAACCTATTCCTATTCTACTAGGATTATATAGACCTATTCATATTCTAACACTCCCCCTCAAGCTAGTACATACAATTCATGTACCTAGCTTGTTACAAATGTAATAAACACAAGGGGTTTGGTGAGATATTTGTTGACTTCACAAAATTGACAGTCAATCTCAATGTGCTTGTCTTCTCATTAAATATTGAATTTGATGCATAATGCCAGTCAATCTCAATGTGCTTAATCTTACATGAAATACTGAATTTGAATGTTGGTGTTGAACTTCCCAAACCAGGCTTGAGAAAAATTGTTCTAGACAATAGAGTGATCTACACAATTGACATACAAGGCTACTAAACTCCCCCAAGCAACAAAGTGCTCAAAACTAGTATAAAGTATATGGATCTTGTTGGAATCAATACATGAGTTGATATTAAATAAGAAAGTGACCAAAAAATTGATCGGAACATGCTCATATGTCGGAGTATTAGATTTGATGGCTAAAAGTGGTCATAATCTAAAAAATAAAATTATATGGGTATGGTCGGTATGATGTCACGACCCAACAAGTAAATAGAAATTATATAGAATAGTTCAAATTGATGGAACGAACCCCATTTAAAAAAAGAAATAATATGGTAGGGTTGGAATTATGGCATAACCCTACGCAAATCAGATTTGAGGAGTCACCGAAAAGACGAATGGAACTATGCAAATCAAATTTGAGTCACTGAAAAGACATGATGTTATGCACAACTCAAATATGAGAAAATAGTTTGGAAAAATCCACGGTATTACGAATTAAATTTGGAAATACTCTGAGAAGATGCACGGTGCTACGCAAATCAGATATGTAAAAAAAAGCTAGTCACCAAAAAGATGGCACGATCACAAATTATCTATGAAAAAGTAGTCACTGCAATGATGGCACAGTGCTACACAAATTAAATATGAAAAAGTAGTCACTGGAATGATGGCACGGTGCTACAAAAAT